AGGACAGGGGACTGTGAGAAAGAGGGAACAAGCGAGACCCGTACTGTGGCCTCAGAGCACTGCCTAAAAAATGTCCAGACCCCAGTGCTGAGAGGAGAACTCAAGCCTACTTCAGTCACCTCTCAGAGCTGATTAGGCAAAACTTGTCATTTGCACAGTGCAGAGTTCTCTAGCAAAGGGATCCGTAGAGAAAAGAACCAGAAAGCTTTAGAAGTCCTTCATAACTCTTCAGTTCAGTACAATCTGTGTTTCAGGTGAGAAAACTACTTAAGACTGGGAAACAGTCAACTGATTAGTCAGATGTGGGGAATGAGCACAGGAGTGGACGCATTTCGCCTTCCTTCCAGCAAAAATGGAAAACATCTTGATGTAGGAGACAGGTGTGCTTCTAATGGCAGCTGGGAGGCTGAGGTGGGAAGAAGGGAGTCTGGGGCCTGCCTTAGCCACACAGTGAACACATGGATTACAAGAGACACATTTTCATAAATAGAAAGTTTTGAAAGTCTGTTAAAAACAAAAATACACCTTGAAAATGGAATAAAATATATAGAAACTTATTTGGAGTTTTGAGAAAATAATGTGTTTTCTAAAATTTCTATGAACACTTTTCTTATAAACAAATTTTAGAATGAAGGAATCTCTATCAGTTAGTCTAGGTACAGTCAGAAAGGCCTGGGATTGGCCTGTTGCATCTTCAGGTGGTTGATTATATATAGTCACCCCCCTCCTCCCATTCCACATGTTTCCTTCCTTACTTCTACATGACTGGGAGAAAGGGTTTATCTTATGCGTATCTATTAATTGACAGTTCAAAAGCCCAGTTTGTAGGCAAAGGTGCCATATCCTAGATAGCAGAGCAGAGCTCAAACTCATCATTGGAAATAAAATTTCTCCTCAGACATCACCTCCCTGTGGTTCTACTTTACAAAAGAGATCTCTCTTCTTCACTTCCCTACAGCAGACACCAAAGAATTCATGTGGTTACAAAGCCACTTATGACTCACAGGGGGGTATTTTGGATTAGAGTTAGAAGACAACAAAGGTTTAATAAGAGGAACAACTTTGACAAGTTTAGAGTTATGGATAAGATGCTCCTTGGGCCAGTGAGATGGTTCAGTGGGTAAAGGGCTTCTTGCCGAGCCTGACAAACGGAGTGTGACCACCAGAACCTATATTCTCTCCCATAGTGCTGAGAGAGGAGGTGGGAACCTCGATTTCAGATTTTGGTTCCCAAGCTGTGAGAGAATAGATAAGAACATGCTGGTTAAATCACCTAGTTGTAACGATTTGTCAGGTCAACCTCGGAAACTAAATATCTCCGACAGAACCACGAAGTAGGTGGTTAGTGGCAGTTCCCACCTTGCCCTCAGATGGCAGCCCGCGCTATCCTGAACCGAACAGAACCCAGGCTGCATTTGAGACCTTGCAGAGCCCTTCTACCTGAAAATCTTGGTGTTCCCTTAAAATGGCATTGCCTGCTTCAAGCGGTAGAGGATTCAGGCTGCTTCTTGCTCCACCAATTCTTGCATTTCTCTATCCACCAGTTCCTTCCCATCACATAGTCCAGAGTAAGATGAAATGGTTCTTTCTAGCAGTTACTCAGGATCCCAAGGCAAGGGCAGAAGATAGGGTTTTCTTAGAAGCAGAGCCTTGTTCACGGGTACCAGTTGTAGGGCCTTGAAGGGTTTTCTCCCATGAAACCAGTCCGACATGGGATAATCTTTATTTAATATTGAAGAACACCACCATCTTTCTACATTCTTCACTAGTGCTTCGTGTTCCAGACTTGAGTGAGCATTCCCTTCCTCATAGTCTTCCACCTGCGTCACCACTATTTTGACGATTGTCTCGCACCTTCCTAGCGCTCTTGGGAACAGCATCACACAACGTTGCTCTCTGGTATTGAAGCATTCGCCACCATTTATATCAGTCTGTCACTCGTTTAGGCTCTCCCTCTCTGGATGTGCACCTTCTTCTCAACTTTTCAGACATCCGTTGTTTCCAGATCTTTCCTCTACGTTGATGGATGTCTCTGGCCCCTGATCTAATCACATACTCACAGGCATCGTTGTTGGTGGCTTGGCTGTCTATGTGGATACGCACTTGTTTGGTGGTTGACGCAGTCAGCCAGTCACACCCACAGCTTCTCCATAAGTTATGCCGTCGTTATTCTATGAACACTTCTACAAATGCCACACTGCCTTCCAAGTACAGCCTCTGTCTTCTTGTCCGTATCATTTGGTTGAAATGCAAATGGCTTATTTCCTCTTCTTCCTCAATGCTCATTGTCACTTAGTTTTAATCTTGCCTTCAGTTCACATAGCCCTCTCCTTCACCTTCCAGACCTAACACCCAAGCTTCCCTTTTGTCTTTTCATCATCTTTCTATCCTATCTCTTGATCCAAAACTGAGTCAAGTTTTCTCTATTTAAAGTCATTGTCTAACACAATTTGATGCAACTGTGAGAAAGTACTGATACCTTTGAGGTTTATAATACCCCTTTGGATGTAAGGTCAGCTCTGCCAGTGGCAGCTGCTGCAGACCTTCATGCTGTCCACATGGTGGCAATGGCATCATTTAGACTTGAGAGGACACCAGAAGTCGTCAGTCTTCTATAAGTAGCTAAGTGGAGTCTACAAAAAAAAAATGTTTTTTTTTTTTTTAAAGTCACTCTACATAGAAACAAACATAAATAAATTTGTTTGACCATTTAAAAATGACCTATTAGGTAAAGGCATTTGCCACCACCAAATCTGATGACCTGTCCCAGGTCATGGTAGAAGGAGAGAACCAAATTCCTCTGGCCTCCACACATGTGCTGTGGCACTGTGTTATTTATGGCAATAAGCAAATGATGCAGTACAGAATTAAAATAAAACATTTCCCTCCAAACATCTATTTTGTGTGGATACTTTCGGTATTGAGGACACTCACTGTCTTGTGGGTTTAAATATATAGTATCTTAAAGGCACATCATGGAGGACTAGTTTTGAAAATCAAATTTGACCCCAAATGTAGTTTTTTAAAAAAATAAAATAAATTGTGAGTATAAGGACTACAGTTGAACAATCATAAAACTTTGATCATTATCATATACTAACTCACTAAGTTCAGCTATTCTACCCTCACACCCCATCGTAGATCTCTAATAGGAATTAGCTTTAGAATAACCAGGCTTACCATTCCCTATGGTGGGATTCCTTGCCCAGACTTGATACAGAGGGGAAGGGGCTTGACCTTGCCTCAAGTTGGTATGTCAGACTTTGTTGACTCCCCAAGGAAGGCCTTATACCCCCTCTGAGGAGTGAGTGGGGGTGGGAAGGGAGGGTATGTGAGGGATCAGGAGAAGGGGAGGGAGGGGGAACCAGGGTTGTTTGTAAAATGAAAACTAAGATTTTTTTAAATAAAAATATTTAAAAGTTTTGGGCTTAGATAACACATGTATTACATTATAGACTAGTATTAGGACTTGTAAATGTGCCAAAGAGAAGGCACCTTTTAAAGTTGTCCTAAAGACAGATATAATGCGTGGTTCATTTTATGGATACATGGTGACTACATAAAACTTTCTCAGAGAAAAAAAAAGGACACTTATCCCAACATTTCAGAATCACATCACATCAGGATGCTAATTTAAACATGACACTCATTCTGAAGGAAGAAAGACACATGCTTTAAAATCAGATTGCATCTTCCAAAATAAGCTTTATTTTTATTTTATGTTTACGTTTTGTCTGCAAGGATATTTATGTATCACATTCATGCAGTGTCTATGGAAGCCAGAAAGGGGCGATCAGACCTTTGGAACTGGAGTTAAAGTCAGTTGTAATATACAACAAGGTGCTGGGAATGCAACACTGTTCCTCTGCAAGAGCAGCAAGAACTCCTTACCGTGGAGCCATCGCTCCAGCCCTCTCTTAAATTTGAAAATTAAATTTATACATGTGTATTGGTGAAGGCATGCGTGTGTGGGCATGCGTGTGAGCCAGACCACAATTTACCAGAGTCAGTTTTCTCCTTCCACCATTCGGGTCGTGGAATCAAATTCAAGTCACCAGGTTCAGTAGTAAGTGCCTTTTGCCCTCTGGACAATCTCAAGTTTGGATTTTCCTGTTTCATCTTATGTAAATATCCAACTTTGTTGAGTTCCAGTTTATAACCTGCAGGTCGAGAATTTTTACCACACTGTACAGTTAGAAATACTGAGTAGCTTAGAGTGCAACCACCATACACTCTGTAGATACTTTAAATGGCAATTTTTATCGGATTATATTTTAGTGCGGCACAGTCTTACCGTAAAAAGGCCAATTGGACCATGCGGTGGTTGCGCATGAGGCAGAGGCAGGCAGATCTCTGATTTCACAGCCAGGCGAAAAACAAAACAAAGGCCACTTGGAAGCATTTGGAAGTAGTCAGTGGGGAAGTGGTGTCAGAGACCAGGGATTCCTGGAAGCCAGAAACAGGATAATTGAGCAGTCCAGTGCTGTGAATTCTTGGAATTCTAGTGACTATCAGGACACCAACGGCCACCTCCTCCAAAAGCAGAGACGGGTCTTCATAGTTTTGTTACCAGTATTGTTTTCAATTTCTTGTATTAAAAAAAAAGGCATCATTAACGACAGCTTAACGGTAAGAATATTTTCCTTAGTGATAGTCTAAAAGTAAAACTTGATATACATTGATTTCTGCTGTTCATTGCACACACACATACACACACACACACACACACGTGTTCTCCATGGCGTGAGACTCCAATGTGCTAAAAGAGTCCCAAAATAAACGCGAACACGCATATTCCAGGTGCAGACGGACCTGCCTTCTCCAAACACCCCTTGCTAAAACAAGTACAACCTCCTGACACCATGGAGCCCAAGACCGGGGAACGCAGACAGAAGGCAGAGGAAGTGCGAACTTCCCGCGGTTTTCTCCAGTAAATTCTTAACCAAACCCAGGGGAACTGACTCAGGTTCTCTGTGAACGAGCAGAGAAGAGAGCTTTCCCTTTAGGACGCCTGGAGGGAAGAGCCACTGTTGGATTTACCTCCTGGGGCTCGGCGTTGGCGGGCTCTGCTAGCAGGGCTGGTCTGAGCTCAGCTCCCGGGGGCGGGACCGAGTCGCTCCCTCCGCCCCACAAATTGCTGCCACTGCCTCAGCCCGGCTCTCAGACGCCGCCGCATCCCACGGCAGAGGCGGCAGCGAGCTCCAGCCGCGTCGCAGCCCCGTGCTGCAGAGAGGCCAGCAGGCGACACTGCAAGGGACCTGGCCGGGCTCCGCTCACACCTCTCGCGCGCAGCTGGTACGTACCTTGCGGACTGCGAGCGGGTGTCACTGGAGAGAGGAGGAAGGGAAAGGACTCGGGGAGTTGGGGAGACTGAGCGAGCGAACACGTAAGCACAACTTTGCTATTTTCCACCAAGCGGGGAATTCAGAGCACATCCCATCCTTCCACCTGAAGCTGGGGGGACAGTCGGAGTGAAAGCAGGTGCACCTGGCAGGTCTGCTCATCGGCCTTTGCCCACTGGGCACTGAAAGCGGACTCTGGGGACCGCTGGTTGTAAGTTCCTGAGCCCTTCTTCTGCCGCGCCATCAACGACACGTCGTTTTCCTCCTGCCTAGCGGCGGTGAGCTGCCACCAGCGCAGTAGAGGTCTGAGTTCCGACCCGCTCGCTCTCAAGCGATAAACTGTGCCTGTGAGGGAACCGGTGACCTCGGGGAGCCCCACAGCTGTATCAGACTGTCCCCACTGCTAGGATAGCTGGTGAAGGAGGAGGGACTCAAGTGGCAGGTGGTCGCAGAGCCTGAGAGGCAGAGGGCGCCCCAGTGCAGGTTGGTCCTGGCTGTTATTACTGCAGCCTTTTGGGAGTTTCGTGAAGGTGCCTTCTGGAAAGGGTGACCCAGTCTAATGGATCCCACAACTCAATTGCCTTCCTTAGAGAAGCGGAGATGATAATGTCGTTTCATCTTCTCCGAGATGGTACCAGAGTGCATTCCTGATTCAGAAAAGCGCCCTGACCAGCAGTTGCTGGGACGAAAGAGAAGCAGTTAGGCAAACAGTGGGGTTAGCATCTGGACTCTGCCGGGCCAGCAGGTGGATTCCGGGCTCTCATGATGGATTAGACATAGGCGCAGTCGGGAAAGAACCAAAATGAAGCCCTCTTATGAGCGGTTTGGTCCTGAAGCAGTATCGGATCAGACTTACTCTTGACAGTTGTATTTCTGTATGTAAACAGTAACCTTTAAAAATCTCCCTGTCCACTTCACGGGATGTCGTTTTTCTTTCTTGACACGATAAAACAATTCTTCCTTGAATTTAATATTAGGAAGCTCAGAGTCTGGCTTATTAAAATGAAAACTGGTGACCACAATTCTGATGCCAAAGGTCTCATCTTCAAAATCTTTGTGTCCTGGGACTGCCAGACACTAATCAGTGCCCCTCAACTGACACTGTCTTCTGAGAGCTAATTTTCCAAAAAAAAAAAAAAAAAGTGTTTAGCAAGTTCAACTGATTCAATTTTAAACAAAATCTAATTTAAAGAAATAAAAAGGCTCTTGGAAGAGTTTTAGTAATCAACTAATTTTTTGTCTATAATTTTTTTTCAACAAAGTAACACAGACTGGGGAATTACTCAATCTAGAATATTTTAAGAAGTGTCAAATTTCATTCTTGTTAAAGAATTTTTCCCTCTTCTTTTGTCAATTTAAGCATATGTTGAAGTTAATGATGGATCAATTAATTTTTTTACTAATAGTATTGCAATTATTTAAATTCCTATAGAGTTTGCAATACAGATTTAAACAATAAATTTATTGAGATATAGATCACAAATCTGCACATCATAATATTTACCCTCTTCAAAGGCAAATTATTCTTAAAAAGTCACCCCATTAATAATTTTTTAAAACTTTTAAGAAGATGCATAATAATTATTATGATGTAGTTTTAATCTTCAGCACTTTGAAAGATCCATTATGCCTGCTTGTATCCCATCGGAACTCCAGGAGATTTTGCATCTTCTTTTCAGTTCCTATGGGCTTACTTTCCCTAAACATTTCAGACAAATAATACACTATATGTTCTTTGGTTTCTGGCTTCATTTGCAGTTCGATTTGTGGCACCTCTGTAATTTGGTATGCATCAATATTTTACTCCTTTTTAACTGCAGAATAATTTCTCATTGTGTGGGCATGCCCTGTTTTGTGCATTTTTCTGTTAATGTGCATCTGGACATTTTTAACTATATATCTATACATTTGAGAACTTCATAAATGCATACAATGTGGTCTGATTGAGTCCAGCCCCCCTTTCCCTCATCTCCATTTCTTTCCTTCTACATGGGATTCCCTGCCAATTTCGGGTGTCCTCTTTTCAAACCCACTGTGTCTACTTAGTGCTGCCTGCACGTGCATGACTGTGAGACCATGTAGTGGAGCTTGGGTAGCTTTCAGGGTGCTCACATGCTCACATCTCTTAAAGAACTCTCCCCTTGCTGCAGCCAGTGCAGCCTGGATGCCAAGACTGGCGGTGTGTGTGTGTGTGTGTGTGTGTGTGTGTGTGTGTGTGTGTGCCGGGATTGAGACACAGAGGCTTCTTTTCAGGTGGAAAACAGCAGCTTTTTTTTTTTTTTTTTTTTTTGCCCAGCAACCTTTTATACCTCTACTCCTTCTGTGGAGACCCACTGGCCAGAAAGAACACAAACATCCTTGTCAATTACAGACCACAAGGAAGTTCTGCTGTTCAGTCAGGGGGAGTGAGGGCAGCTGGATCACAACATCGCCCCTCCCCACCATCAGTTGTCATTAGCTTCACAGCCCAGGGTTGGACTTTATGACCATCTCCCCATTCATGCTGGGGCTTTGTCTGGTTTGATCTTGTAGAGGTCTTGTGTATGCAGTCAGAGCTACCATGAGTCCATGTGCAGCTATCCTGCTGTGCCCAGAAAACACTGCTTCAATATAGTCATCACAGCCTCTGGCTCTTACAGTTCCTCCAGTCCTTCTTTAGTGATGATCTAAGGCACTGAGAGGAGAGGAGGGGCGGGAACACATGTCCCATTTAGTACTTAGAGCTCAAAGTCTGTTATTCTCTGTGTGGGGATGAGTTGTGGGAGTTAATCACCTTCTACTGCACATAGAGGCTTCTGTGATGAGGCCTGGGAGACGCACTTAACTATGAATATAGGTATTAAGGTGTTGCTTTAATTCTAGGTCCTTTTAGAGAACAATAGTTGTAGGTTCTCTCCTTGGGCCTATGAGCTATTCAGCTTTAGGTTCTTGGCCTCAGTTATGGTGGCAGTCTGGCTTTTAGTTACATATATGGTGTGTGTGTGTGTGTGTGTGTGTGTGTGTGTGTGTGTGTGTCTTAGTTAGGATTTCTATTGCTGCAACCAAACACCATGACAAAAAAAGCAAGTTGGGGAGGAGAGGGTTTATTTGGCTTATACTTCCACATTGTTGTTCATCATTGGAGGAAGTCAAGACAGGAACTCAACCAAGGTAGGATCCTGAGAGCAGGAGCTGATGCAGAGGACATAGATGGGTGCTGTTTACCAGATTACTTCCCCTGGCTTCCTCAGTCTGCTTTCCCAGGACCACCAGCCTAAAGGAGGCACTACCCACCATAGGCTGGACTCCCCACTCCCCATAAATCGCTAAATGAGAAAATACCTCACAGTAGGATCTCATAGAGGCATTTCCTCAGTTGAGACTCCTTCCCCTGGTGACTCAAACTTGTGTCAAGTTGACACACAAACCTAGACAGTATAGTGTGTATGATAGATGCACAACACACACACACACATGTGTGCATGCACACAGATACATAGGTAAATTTTCTTTCAAAGTTAAAGCTCAATTGCAGCAAGCTACTCCTAAAAACTGTTACATTTTCACTAATATTTCTTGCTTAATGGTTTATTTTAGGCAAATGAAAATGAACCAGGCTTAATCAAGACTAAATCTGAATTGAATTTAAAATGAGAAAGAAATCTATTTGAAATTTGTATTTTCAGATGTTACTAACACTCAATTTTGAGTGGCTTGACTGTGAATTAGGTTGTTTTACATCCCATTAGTATAAAAGTTTGACCTAGGGGGAAGAAAAAAAAAAGAGTTCCTTTTTGGATGTCAAATGCAATTGATGAAGTCTATAAAGAAGGCAACTTAATTAAATTTGCCATGCAAATACTAATTAATCATCTCCTAATGCAGGTGGGGAAATCTAAGGTCCTAGATTCAGGAATTACATCTATAAAAGTCACTTATTATGAGTAAAATCAAGACTGAAGTTATCCTTTTAAAACCTTTCCTATTAGTATATACTTTTTAAAAATCTTCTTGTTCAATTATTATCATACACTTTGTATATTGCTCTTCTTGCCATAGTGAGTTAATATTTCACAAGAAGAGTTCTAGGGCACACTCCGGTGCATACCTGTGACACCAAACATGTTTGTTATCTTCTCCTTATTACAAGTAGAACTGATTTTGAAAAATGAAACTGAGTTTCTACTTTTTACTCAAATGAGAAAGCCATTGTTTTTCAGCTCTCTCAATAACAAATGGCCATCCTGTGCACTTACCCAGGGAGGGTGCCTGCTGTGGATTTTACATAGAATGATGATTTGTGTCCCTCAGTCACTTAGAGTCTTGTGCCCAGTGCCCAGGAGGTGTTTGCTTTGTTTTTGGTGGAGAAGAGGGTTCAGAGATGCTGTGAGATAAGAACTCCAAGGTTTCAGGTTTGTGCCTGTTCTGGATAGGATACAGCAATCTCACCTAGAAGCCTGGATTAATTAGAAACAGGATTTCTCAAGCAGGAAGGAAGGCCAGTGGGGACGGAGATACTTTATTACAGCAGCATGGAGCCAGGATATCATTGACACCTGCGTGCTGCAGCAGTAGCTTGAAGTGTCTGAGCACAGGATGGACAGACTGGAAGTCCTCCTAGGATCCTCCACCCTCCACCCCACTTCCTTATAAGTCCCAATATTTGCTCTGTTGATGAAAGGAAAAATATTATTTCTCTCCGTCTCTCTGCCTCTCTTTCTTTGCATGTGTGTATGTGTTTTCAGCATGGGCTACTGAAGGTGTTCATTTGGGGAATGAAAGAAAAGGAGAAACTGAGGTCCAGTATGACAGTCTCAGAAATAAAACTACAGAAGAGTACCACATTCTTTATGTATATTTTTGCCTGTATTCTAACCATCTCAAAATTTCTTATTTCTAGATTATTAAGCACTGAAATAACATATCTCAAGGAGAGAAGAAATTCTCTCTCTTTCTCTCTCTATCTCTCCTTCACTCTCTGTTTTCATGCACACATATGTGTAAATAGGAATGGTTGATAGCTCAAGCAATTATATTACTTTATTATGCTTGTTATTTTTTTAAA